TAGGAGTTTGTTGCATTCATCTTTCTTGTACACTGGAATTTAATCTCTCACTTGCAACTTGTTGTTAGCTTAAACAACCGTGCATTTGGACTTTGATTTGTTCATTCATCCAAAGTCTAATCGTACATGTTACATCGGACCCGAGCTCAAGGTTCAATTCATGCTTGAATCTTGTATATTGTTATGGAATGAGCTTGAGTTCAATTTGAGTTCCTTGCTCTCCACACCTTGTTCCAGTTTTGAGTTCGGAGTCTTCTAAAGTCTTTGCAAGTTCAATTAAATGTTCAAATTGATTTTGATTTTAGCCCCAATTTGATTTTATTTATTTGGGTTTGAGCCTTGATTAATCATTTAGATTTTGTTCGTATTCAAGTCCTCAAGTCATCTGTTCTTCATACAAGTCCTCTGTATTGTTGCCCAAATGAGATCTTCTTATTGTTTAGACTTTGTACATTTCAGTGAAAATTTCGGCAGCACCCCGGCATATTCCCCTTTTGGGGGAAAATAGGGGAGCTGGGTCTTCCCACCACGCTAGTCGAGCGTGTATGATAGGTGTCCATAGACACCGCGACCGTACAAATTTCATCCCACCACGCTACTATGGGAGCTTCAGTAGTACCCGTACGAGAACACTAGTGGATCTCCCCACCATGCTACAAGAGCGTATATAGGGCTTACCCACCAAGCCATATGCGTAGCACCGGGCTCCCTCCTCCTACCGTGCTACAAGAGCACGTATAGGTGGTTCTCCGGTCCGCCGCAAACGCCGAGAATGGGATTTGGAACGTCATACCTTTGCGTAGCAGTCGTTGGCGCCGATGTCGAGGTCGAGGACTAATTAGAAATAATTAAAAATTATTAATTAAAATCAATTTCAATTAAATTTAATTATAATTAATTAAAAAATTAATTATAATCATTTAATTAAAATTAAGCATAATTAATAATAATAAATATAATTAATTAAATTAATTATAATAATAATAATATTTCTCCCTCTCTCTCGGGTTCGGCGGCATTACGGGATTTGGCCGGAGTAGCGTGCAAAGGGGAGAACGTTAACTTCATAGCGTGAGCTCCCTTTGTTGCTCGGCTCAAAATGTCGCAACTTCGATCCAATAGAAAGAAACGTCACCGTAGAGGGCAAGGAAGCGCGCGAAAGGATGAAAGTTACCTTTGTAGCTGGCGAGCTCCCGGTCTTGCTTCCGATCCCACAAGAAAGGAAGGTCGTGGATGGAGCGAAGTCGATCGGTAGCACAGGAGCCGGAGAGGCGACTCTACAGTGAGCGAGTTTCGCTCTTGCTTCTGATCAAAATGTCGTAACTTCCAATCCGACGAGAAAGGGAACATCGCTGAAAGGGGCAGAGGAGCGCGCGAAAAGGGAGAGTGTTACCTTCACAGATGCGAGCTCCCCGTTGCTGCCTTCGATCAAATGTCGTAACTCTCGATCTCTCAGGAAAATCGAGGAAGGAGCGAAGTCGAACCACAGCGAAGAGGCCGAAGAAGCAGCTTCGGTCTCTTCTTTAACGTCGAGAGGGATCGTGTGTGAGGTGACATCGAGTCGTGCGTAGACTGTGCGGAGCACGTCGTCAATGTGACGGGTTCGTGGCCGGACGGGTAGGTAGGATTTTACGATTTTTTTTTTTGTTTTGTTTGCTACAAAGAAGGGTCAACATGGAGAGAACTCAGTGTTCCAATTTTCCATATCGATGATGTGCCTTCCTACATACCAAGGGCCTCCGCTAAGCTTTGCTTCCTTAACTTCATCTGAATGAAAAGAACACATTAACCAATCGATTCCTTGATTGTTTAAATGAAATGCACCACATTGGCTCCATTGCTTCCTTAGATCATTGCTAATAACTGATAGAGGGATTGAATTTCCAAAGATTTTCACCACCAACGAATTGCGGAGTTTATGAATATTGGCTTTCTCATTTCTTCATATAACTTAATTGCAACACCATCCTCAGACATTTCTATGGTATTTAAGAAATCAACAATCTTGATATTCGACGGCCTTTTCCAAGCATTTGTTTCCCTTTGAGGAAGCACATTTGATTTACCAACTTCAGTGTTATTCTCCGAGGCAATAAGTCTCGTTGGAGAGTATATTAATTGTCAATAATGGATTTAAATTATATTTTTTGATTTAAGAAAGCACAATCTTGATGTCCTATTTTAGCGGGGTTTAAATTGCCAATAATGGATTTATAAGATGGAACTTTGACTCCTATGAGTATATTAATCATTATAGGACCACCATCATGTGTATTCAACATGCTTCTGATGCAGTCATTTGCAATGTCTGCCTTCTAATCCTTAAGGGATGAGCCTGCAAATGATTCTAATCACTTTTGTTTAGAACTATTCATATTTATATTTTTTGATTTAGCTTAGGCTTTTATGAAATAATTTATTGCCAGACTTTTTTTTGAAATTTTTATTAAAAGCTAAGTCATACATTTTCTGCACTACCGACATAAATTCTCTAACATGTAATAGTTTACGTCTAACTACTAGTGATTGCTACTCCCGTCTTTAGACTTCTATCAATTTCTAACCTTGTTGTTGGGTATTAACTATTTGTCTATAGACATCTTATTAGTGTAATACCTAGAGAAAAATCAGACATTTATTATCAAATAGTCATTTCCTCTTCAACTGTGAGGAATAAAAGATTCTTTTAACTCCCATTATATAGTGAATTTTTTTAATTGGGCTAGGTTTTGTGATTTATTCTCTTTCTGTTTTTGATATAAATTTTTTTCTGATCTCTTACAAATTTTATTTATTTGTACTAAATGTTTATCAAAAGTTGTGACATATATTTTCTACTTTAGCCACATAAATTATCTTTCACATAACAATCTTATAATAATGATTGAATAATACTAATTTTAATTTTAAAATTTTTGTCAATCCTAATCGCATTATATTAGTTATATTTATGATGTATTAATATGTTAATTAATTATTAATTATCAAAACATTAAATATAAAATATAAAATATTTATTTAATCTATTACATAGATCTAAATATCATTTCATTAATATCAATCAATCAGTTGGTTCTCTTTCCCACATTATTTACTATTGCATGGTCTATCAAGAGAAAAAAAAAAAGAAATAAAAAAAGGAAAAACAGGAAAGCTGATAGACAACTGAGTATTCTTCTCTGCCATTGAAAGCGGTGTTGAGGAAAAGAAAAACTCTATAATTTCTTTTCTCTTTGGTATTTGTCTTTTTTGTTGTTGATAAAATTCATCAAAGGGATCTACGAGTTAATTTAAAAATGGATTATAAACTCAGAATAGAACAAAAAATCACAATAAATACTACAATTAAGATAAAACCTAAGGGCAATTGTTCTAATCTAATACAATAAGCAAACAAATTAAAATAAAATCATGACAACCACAAATGAAGAGCAATAGGACATAGTCAAGTGTAACATAAAGGTAGGCATGAGCAACATACAAAGAAGCCTTGAGAAGAAAAGTTAGAAGAAACTAACCATGAACCAATGCCAGGCAAGCAACAACACAATCATCAGCATCATAAACAACCGACTGTAATCAAAGAATTACTTTTTTTTTTAGCTTTATTTATGTTTTTTCACCTACTACGTTTCCCACCACCAAGCTTGGAATCATCATCTCGATACGAATCACCTTCAAACTAAACAAATCATCCGTAGGCTCAACCAAGACATTCCCATCACTCCGGCTATCCAAAGAAGAATAATCTTCCAGCCAATCTGAATGATCCACACCAGATTCCTTCAAATTTAAAGCTAAATGAGTATTCAGATCATCCTTTGACATAATAGAGACATGCACATCAATAACATCCTCGTAAGCAATGATAGGCGGCACACCCAAGACATCCAAGGGAGAGTCACCAGAATGCATCACCAAATTATTAGAGGAAACATCTAAATCAGCCTTATTAATATCACACAAAATCACATTGTCAACATCTAAATTCTCATCACAAGGAGCATTCTCCTTAAAATCATCCACAACATCATTTGGGGGAACAATAAGTTGATGATCACATTCAAGAGATAAAGCTGGGCTACCCTCAATCAAACTTTCACAATCCACTTGATCAAGAGGGGAACCACAATGAGAATGATTCATGTTAACCATAGGAAGTAGCACATCATTGGCACCCATCTCATCACTGAAACGATTAATATTCTCAGCACTAGAATCACTAGCAAGCTTACCAGAAAAAGAGTTTGGGATGGCCAAAACAAGATACCCATAAGAATGCAAAGGTTCAGGATCCAAATTATCAACAGTTAAGCCAACATCAATAATCGGAGGGGGAAAAGAAATATTAACATTAATGCCAGCAATAGCAGGGTGAACAACAGTGTCATTCCTTTCTAACATAACTTTCTGAGAACCCCTGCCTAAATGGGGGTGAAGAGCATGGCAATTAGTTTTACTATGCCCCAAAGACTTGCAGTGATCACAAGGAGGGAAATCCTCCATAACAATCGGGTGAACATAACCAAGAGTATCCGGACCTATCCAAATAGCCTCAGGATAAGTTTTAGAGATATCCAGTTCGACAAGCACCCTAGCAACAGACGGCCGTGAACCAATGGCAGTGACATTATCGATTTTTAAAGGGCGGCCAAAAATTGAACCCAACCATGAAGAATACTGTGGGATAATAGATGTAGCCTAAGATTCGGAAAAGAAGCCCAAATAGGAATGATCAGAGATTCAACAGATATATCCAAAAACGGAGACCACTTAACTAATTTCATATATCAGTTGGAAATGAAATAGGAACGATGAGAAAAAAACACCACTATAATCCAAATCATTTACCACCTTAATAAGAACATGCCTTGGATCCAAGACAGTAATAGAGAATTCACCGATCAATTTGAAGTTAAGGAAGAACTTACGAATCGATTCAAGATTGAGTGTTACTGACGAGTGCTTTATATTCTAAAATTATTTCCTCGTTGTTTCAGGAAAACGCCACATTTGGCACGTGTAAAGCTGCTCCTCCGCCGAAAGCATCCGTAGGAGGTAATCCTTCCTCCAATCAATTCCCGCAGCATCGCTCAGATGCCTGCTTAACTATAAGTTCTGTATCAAGTTTTTTCTTCAAACTTACCGTTATTCATTCTTTTCTCCTTATAATTTAGTGACGCATGTATATTTTATTTGCCAATTTTTACCATTTATTTGCACTGATGAGAACTTGCTGAAATAATGTATATTATAGGAGCTAGGGAGTTTTCGTTCAGTATGAGAACTTCTCTTCCCATGCACCTGTTGCATTTCTATATAGTAGACAATAGGTTTAATGAATTTTATAGCCTTTATGTTTACTTAAAGATGAGAATAATATAAAATTAATATTGATAAATTATGTATTTTTGTCTATTGATATGCTCCTCCAAGACCAAATCACTGTTTATATTTAGGCTTGTCAAAATCAGATGAATTTAAATGGTTGAATCGGTCCGATTAAAATCAATTGACACCATCAACTTTTGAAAATGATTGGAATGTCCAAATTTACTTTAAATTTTATATATTTAGAATCAAAATGACTCATTCCGATGCCAACGTGCCTTGCAACTTTGTCATATTTCTACTATGCTCTAATTTAATTTTGATTTTATGAAAATGTTAGGATATCTACAATTTTTTTTATTAGAGTTATTTATGATAAAGAAAATAATTTGGCACAAAAATCACAGCTCATTGTTATCTCAATTATTCTATGGCAGCCACGAGCTTTGATCATTAAATATGTAGTATAGTTGATCTAAATATACATGCATATATGTAAACTCCAAACTATTGGATGAATATCTTATGATAATACGCATGCACATGTCACCCAATCAATGGTTCTAAATTTTAATTATTTATGTGAAATGAACACCTTCCTACTCCCATTTCTTAAATTATCATCTAAATATTAAAATTCACGATAGAATCTCAACGCATATTTTCCAAATTTATAAAATTCCTAGCAGTTTAATTGTGTAATACACAAATACATTTATTTGATATAGTCTAAAAAAGTACTATAATTGTGAATTTAATAATAAAAATCCATACTGTGCATAAATATTCCCTTAATATATGCCACAAGAATAAAATAGTTAGTAAAAAAAGCAAATCAATCGGCTACGCTATCAAACTCATAGCTCCAAAAGCCTGCTAAAACAGCGAAAATATATTGGAAGTACAATCTCGTTAATCTCATCTAATGTGATTTTGTATAAGTTGCGTAGTGTAGCATTTCTAATTCAATCAACGCACCCATTTACTGACCATATAAATATATACTACAAATCCAAAAAAAGAAAAGAAAAAAAAAATCATCAAACATTTCATCTTATAATAATAATTATAATAACGGATAAAGAGCTTTGTGATCATATAGAACATCCTTCCTACTCAAGGAAGGATGAAGCTGACAGTCCATAGCCGCCACCACCACCACTAAAGTTGAATGCACGTTTGGTACCTGTCACCTCCACCCTGCATAATATCAAAATGATTGAAAATTTAAAGCATATTCTTGAAATATCTAGAGTACTATTATCTTCTAATTTATTTGTCCCATGATTCTTGGTCTCGTCCGATTAAAAAGCATTGTATCATTTGTTATTGTAGGAAAAGCTTTCAAAGATAAGGAATTTTATATAATAATACAAATTGAGAAATTATATATATATATATAAAAAACCCCTAAACATATAGTTGCAAGATTGTTCCATCAACAGATACAAGTCCTTAGATGACCATCATGACATGATGGAAACCAAACTCATAATCTGTCTTCACTCTATTATGAGAGAAATACAACATTGTTTACTAAAGTTATAAGATAATCTATATGAAAAAAAGGCACCTAATGGTGCTTCTAAGTCCCTATGTAAGGTGATCCTAATCATAAAGTTGGACTAACGGTGTAACCGAGTCAAGCCAACCAATGAGAAAGGGCTCGATAAGAAACTCATAAGTTGAGCTTAATAACTAACGAGTTCAACTTAAATTAACCATAGCTCAACTTGCTAGCTCTTCAGATGGTATGTTTACAAATATTAATATAAAATATGCTTAAGAAATATCAAGATTCAAATGTTTGTAAGTACTCGATTATTAAACGACTCAAATTCTTTTTCTTATCATAATTGATTTCTTATTATCTCTCCTCTAGCTCTTAAATTATTTTATCATTTTACAAAAAATTAATGTTTAAAGTATGACAAACTTCTCTCTTTATAAGAAATAAGCTTGCTTGTAATCCAACTTGAAAACTCAAGCTCAAAGTCAATTATGATTAACTAGTCAAGCTTAAGGTCAAGCGGAGGTTTGCTTGAACACAATTCGACTTGAATAATTTTCAAATCAAAATGATTGAGCTTTTATTATGAAAGATGGTTGGAACTCCAATGAAGCATTGCCTTATCCCTGCCAAAATCATCACTATGTGGGCCTCCTCAATATCCATCCATATCACCAAACATTGATCTATCTCCCTCAAAGCGAGGTGATCCTCTTCAATGAAAAAGAAGAAGCAATTCAAGCAACAACAAAAAACTTCTCCCTCCAAGAAAATCAAAATGAACAAATTACCTCAATTTATCATCAGGAGGTCTGAATTCAAAAGAAAGGGATGACGGTTTGATGGATTTCTTCTGAGTTGCAGGAACAATATCCTACGGGAGATTAAAGAATGTCCTCAGATACTTGATGTCGTTATTAGTAAGGTGGATTCATATTTTTTTTTTTTGTGGATGAAGCCTACCCTACTAGCAAGCCTACTTTATAAGTTGACAAGTTGAACCTATGAATGAAGAGGATAGGGAAAGTGGAGGAAAGTGCTATAGAGTACTTAAAAGACTATAGATCTCAAACTGGCAGAATATCCATCAAAATCAATTAAAAAGTCCTCAAACTATTCCTCATAATCATTTATTTATATGATTATGAGGGCTACATGAAAGAATATATAGAGAAAAAGTATATATATATATATATATATATATAATGTTACACATAATATTCATATAATGCTACACATTATCCTATACACCTCTCCTTCTGCATAGCTAAAGGAGAGCCAAGCTAAAAGGCTTCAATGAGTTGCATCAAAGAGTCTAGTACTGTTGAGTGGATGAGGTTGAGTGTGCTCGAGCAAGTACTGGATATAAGTGGACTAGTGATTGACATGCTTACTTACTTTACCTATGACTTGTATGAGGGATCTCAAATTGCTTGAGAAGGGAAAGGAGATGAGATATTGTCATGGGAAGGGAGAGCTCCCAATTCAATGGTTGTAGTGAGGTAGGCTTGGGGTCTCCTAAGTAGACACTTTTTGTAGTTGGGCTTGGTGAGGATGGTCATTCTAGGAGAGGGAGAGTGTTTGATATTGCTCTAAGAGGGAGCTAGTGACTAATATAGTGGCCTAGTTATATGGAAAGTTGTTAGCTTGGTGAGCACTTCACAATTTGCTCAGTAGAGGATGAGCTAATTAGTAGGCCCAAGCAAGTAGTGCTTGTTGATCACTATGGGTGAGTTCCCTACAAATTTGAGGCAGTGATTCCCTTTGGATCATTAGGCAAGTTTTTTTAGGTAGGTCTTGTTTGAGGGTGAGTTCCTCGACCATAAATTATCACGGAATGCATATATGAGGATATATTTAAGTCCCCAATTCACGTGACCTGCATTGATGATGATGATGCAAAGACATTCTCCACACATTTCTTTATAAATAAGGGGTTTTAGTTGAGAGAGCTTTAATTTTTTTTATTTGTGTGACCTGAGTTGTCCAATTTTGTAAGTTTTGAGAGAATGAACTCCATCGAGATCTATTGATCCCGCTTGAAGGCCTTTAAGAATGTTGCCTATCTTTAGGGACTAGTTGAGTTTGTGGTTGCTGTGATTTCACTGAAAAGAGAAGGGCATAATGGTGCATGATTGGTAGAGGCGACTCGTGAACTTTTTGCCACCCCTCCTACAAAGAAAAATAGGGTCAACCTTGGGATGACAACTGGGTCAACTTCTATGCTGATTGTGGTACTCCCATTATCCACCCAACCATTAGTAATAGTGTTATTAACTTGCTTGATAAGGATGCACCTTTGGACTTGTGGCCGAGAGTCAAGTCATATGTCATGATACCTAGCAGTGGAGAGTGTGGGGAGGTTGCATCTACCGAGTTAAGAGCGAACTCTCAAAAACCTTGATCCAGGACAGGTAAGAGAAAAATGAACATGTACAAGTATTTAAAAATTGTATTATTAGAAAAGAATGAACCTGTTATAATGAAGCTCGTAACCTACATTTCCTTAAGTGAGTTGTTAAGGCACTCACCAAGTGAGCAGGAGAAGAAGGATTTGATATAAGGGGTGTCTTTCTAGTATTCTAGTGGAACAGCCCAGTGTGAACCACTCATGGTTGTACCTTTAAGTATGTTGAGTATGTCCTTTGATGAGGTTTCCTTATTAATTATAAGGGTGTTTCCATTGAAGAAATTATAAGAGGTTGGGCCTTCAAATGTGGCTAAACTTGCTAGTGTTGGGAACCATGTGGAGGATGATGTAGTAAGGCAAGCCGAGACCACAATGGAGCATGTTTATATTGCTTACACGAAGAGACCCACACCTTTATTATTAGTAATTGCTCTGGGGATGACATCCCTCCCTATGGGATTGTCTCTTTAAAGGAAGTTATTGGGCAACTTTCTATTATAGAGCAAATAATGAACATCCAAGGCATGGGTGAGCTAAGTAGCTCATGAGAGATGACAACTACAAATGAGGTCACTGAGATAGATAAGGATTTTAATATGGTGAATTCATAATTCACCAGGGTGAATAATTTGGTTATCTCCCTAAGGGTAGAGATGAGGGCGGCTCTTCGTTAGGAGAAGTTGATTAGCTTCACGGTGGGTGACAAATTTTTATTAAATTACTTAGATAATGTAGGGCAGAGAATCTCCGCTCCTTTTTCACCCTCCTAATGAAGGCATAGAACCTTAGCTCCTTTTTCACCCTCTTAGTGAAGGAAAAGAACCCAACACCTTTTTCTCCTTTCTGGAGAAGGCAGAGAACCTCAAGGACTTGACTTTGAAGCCTCTATCCCAAGAGAAAAATTCAAGGACTCACCAGGTCACAGGAAGAGCAAAGGTGCTTAGCTAACCTGAAGTAATCGTGTGATCCCCTCATACTATTTCTCCCTTACACTCAACCTCACGTTCTCCTTCTCTTAAACCCTAGATCTTTCTCAAAAGCTTCTCTCTAAG